TAGATTATTGATGCAAAACAACTTTTTTTTTCGAGAGGACCAAGAAAGCATTCCTCATTGACCACAGTTGGGATGTTGTTGAACATGCTCATAAGTCGCAACCCTTTGAAGGGTTCAAATCCTCTCCCTTTGTGAATGCTTCTCCAATGAGTGAATCCATTTATGTAGATTGTGATTCACCATATGAAGCTGTTCCAAAAGATATTCAGCTCCGTATAAGTTGTTGACTGCATGACAGAATCTCCTGCAAGCTTCAAATGATGTGGTCTCTAGTATCTTCAAGTAATCATCATTGAGGTCAGTTGTCGTACCATATGCAAGCATACGCAAGGTGGCTGTCATCTTCACTTGTGGTGAGAAACCAAGCTTTCCAATGGCATCGGGTTTTTGTTTAAAGTAATCGTCGAAATGGACTATTTGTTCCATTATTCGATTAAACAACTCATGGCTTATGTGAAACCTATTATGAAAATCTAACGGGGGATACAACGGATGGCTAAAGAAGTAATTTTGAAAAAGGTTTTCATGGGCACTTACTAGATCTCTTAGTATAGTACGTCGTCGTGAAGATGTATCATGTGGACAACCACCGAGGCCTTTTCCTTTTTCTTCACTGCTTTTTTTCTTTGGTAGCTTTCGAACATTTCCAAAAACTTTATGTTGGCACCTGTCTTATCACTAGAAGAGCTATCATATCCATTGTTGGCCATTCTAGTGCGGTGGTAGAAGACGGAATATTGAGAATACAAGAGTTGGGATGTGGTGTGTTAGAGCAAGTGTAGCGCTACAGTCCTGCCATGGCAACATGCCCCCTAAGGCCCCAATTCCACCTCCAGCACAGAAAGGCTAGCCCGAGCAAGTTATGGGACCCAACAGCTCGGGCAAGCCCACAGGCAAAAATGTACTGGGCTGTTGCCCGCAGGTTGCTGACGTCAACGCCTCAAAAAATATCAAAAAATATCAAAATTTTTTTTTAATATAAAAAAATTCTGGAAATTTTTTCTATAAATACCTACAAATATTATTCACTTTCCACACCAAATCTTTATACCAATTCATCTCCTTCCAATATTTTCACTTTCCATACCAAATTTTCTACTACAAAATTCCACTTGAAAATTTTAATTTAATAAATATGGACACGTGGCAACCGAAAATTTTATCTGAAAATGTTATCTGAAATTTTAGGTGAGAATTTTATAATAAATAGTGGCACATGACAACCAAAAATATTAACTGAAAAGCTATCAAAATTAATAGTTAAGTATTAAAAAAATAGAAAATAAAGTAAAGTGAATAGTATTTTCCCTTGCCCTTTGGGGTGGAACCAAAAAAGGCAAGGTTGACACTATTCACATGAATAGTGTCAAACCTTGCCTTGCCCTTACCTTTTGAGGTAGAAGTGCTCTTATGAAAATAAGGTGGTTGTTTATTTATAAAGGATATGATGGTTTCAAAGATAAGTGTCAACCTTGCCTTACCTTTGCTTTGCCCTTACCTTTTGGGGTAGAGGTGCTCTTATGAAAATAAGGTGGTTGTTTATTTATAAAGGATATGATGGTTTCAAAGATAACAAATATACAGATGAGATTCGTATGAGGTAATTGGATCTAACGGTTATTGTAAGATGTAATATGAAGAGATAAAGAAAATTTATCTGAAGCCATCACAAAGGGACCCATATCCATCTACCACTATTATTATTTGACAAATGTAAATAACATAGGGATGGAAGGCCATAACGAAGGGAACCCATATCCAGCTATCACCATGCTACCACAATATTATCTGAGAATGTAGATAAGAAAGGGATGGAAAGCCATAATGCAAGGGAGCCATATCCAACTTTGGGAGGACCACCAAATTAATGTTGTGCATCGTGTTTGAATTTAACCATATTGTTATATCATATCTATGAAATAAAATGTTGATTTCCAATTTTTAATTTTTTTTTGGTTGAAATGTTCACAAAAAAATAAAAAATAAAAAACTAACATAGCATGAACAAACATTAAAGTAAAATAATTAACCAAAAAAAAAACCACGTAAATCAAATTACATCATAAAAATATATAGAGCCCGCCATGAATATAGGGCATTTCATTGTGGGAGAGACACCTTAGAGCCCCAAAGATTCCATCGGAGCTTTAAATGAGGTTCTATCAACCCTTTTGAGAACCTCAACCATTAGAAATGACCTAATGACCTTTAAGAAACTCTAATTTTCTAATATGTGACTAATTTCAACATCAAATGTGTTTGCAATGCTTTGTAAAAACCAACACAAACCCCTTGACAAAAATGCCGGGTGATGCGCGCATGGAACATTGAGAGAAAGGCTGCACTGCACTTGGGGGCTTTCTGCCAAAATTATATGCGGTGCCTAGAAAGTCCAAGTCATCAAACTTTAGTCGAATTGAATACTTATTATGAAGAAGGGATCAAAATGAGTCGGTCGACAAGACAAGACACTACGCTAACGGGGATATTTTGCGACAGAGGGATAAAATGATCTTTTCACATATTGATATTTCCACGACAGCCTTACACGATGACGCTTTCTGTTTTGAAAGAATCACCAAATTATAAACATGTCCTGAATTGCAAATGAAACCCAACTATAAGGACCTCATTGCAAAACTACATGAACCTATATGTCGACAAAGAAAACAGTGTAAAATTGCACACACCAACTCCCAACTACCAGAAAGAAACCCCACAAAGAAAAAGAACTTGGTAAGACCAAAAAAAAAAAAAAAAGACTTGGATGCAGTTAAATTTTACTTAATTGGGAATTCGCCTGTTAGATTGTGCATCTGGTACACTGTTGGATCTTTCAGTTCATTTTGCTTAGGGGGATTGGCAACGTGTCTACAAAATTTCTATATATATGACATTTTCTATTAACAGATGTGATAATATAGTAAACTCACTCGAACCCAATACCTTTCAAGAAGGGAGCAATTACTCCAAATCACGAAACTAACGGATTCTTTACAAATTTCCTCAAATATTTAAATAAAGATAATTAACTTTATAAGCTTGAATTCAATAATGCAGAACTTACTTTGTTCTTACAAGAAAAATAATTAAATAAACAAAATCAGACATTGACAACGAACAAGGGGTCCACCTTTGTGATTAATCCAGAAGACAAAGAAGGAGCGTCCACATCTCAAAATAGCTGGTACCACTCACCACTTGCCCAAACACTATTGGTTGCCAATACTGCTACGTGGCGCCAATAATTTCTTTTTATAGATATTTTCTCAAATCTTCCACTCACTTCCTTCCTTATATACGCAACAAAACCCAACGTCAAATCTATCCTCTGCCTTCTTCTAGTAAACTTCGCTGTTCTCTGGTTCTGTTTGTGTTTTGAACAGTCAAAGGGTGGTTTTGTGTTTGTTGGGTTTGTGATCAGAGAGAGAGAGAGAGAGAAAAATTGGAGATGGCAAAACAGAGCTACTTGAAAATGATGACTGAACCAGATGCAAATGAATTGATCCACTCCGATCTCAAAGACCTTGCCACTGCTGCTAAAAAGCTTGCCAATCATGCCGTCCATCTGGGCAGCTTAGGCTTGGGCACCTCTTTCCTCAAATGGGTTGCTGCTGTTGCTGCAATGTGTGCCCCTCTCCTTGTTATTGAGATTTTTTTTGGTTGATCTTTGTGTCATGAATTTGATTTTTAACAGATATTGATTCATAAGTGTTTCTGGGTAATAGTTTAATCATGTTAATTTCATATACTTGATCTATCATGTGGCTCTGTCTGTCTTACAAAATACACGATCTGTTCTGTACTGAAAATTCTGTGCTTATTTCTACCTTGGTTATTTCAAAGTTTTGATTGTGATTGCTCTGCAAGTAAGATTTTTCATTTGTATGTTTGATGGAAGGCTAAAGTGGAATTTTTTTGTCAGTTATTTCTTTTACAGATTGCAGACTTTTTGAGTGATTTTAACGGTGTTAGTAATATCATTGCGAATATATAGACTTCTGAGTGAGTGCACAGTCATCGACAGTGGCACAGATTGTCAATTTATCACCTTTTTTCTGATGTAAAGTGATTTGATTTGAGAAAATATGCACGACCTTACCTGTTTCTCTCTGTGCTTACTGCAGCTATCTGTTGGTCTTGGATCGAACAATCTGGAAATCAAACATCCTTACAGGGCTCTTAATCCCCTACATTTTCTTTACCCTTCCCTCAATATTGTTCAACATCTTCAGGTTATTTTCTATACTCTGTGTATTATCAGTTGCATATTTCCTATTATCTGTTCATTCTTTTCTCTCCCTCTAAACTCTTCTAAATGGTTAATTTCACAGGGGACAGATTGGACAATGGATTGCTTTAGTTGCTGTCATCTTACGGATTTTCTTTCCTAAACATTTCCCAGGTAAAATGCAAATTTTATTCCCAGTGCTGAGTTATAATGTTTCTGTTAGCTTGGGAAGTTGATTTATGTTATGTTACCTAGAAGTTGATCCTTTGTTTTCTGTTTGTGCTTACTGGTTATGATGGTAACCTCCAGAGTGGCTTGAATTGCCGGCTGCGTTGATTCTCCTTATAGTCGTTGCTCCTAGTTTAATTGCAAACACCGTGAGGGGCGACTGGATTGGCGTTGTAATATGTCTCGTCATCGCTGGTTATTTGCTGCAAGAACACATCCGGGCAGCAGGTGGGTTCAGAAATGCTTTCACAAAAGCCAATGGCGTATCGAATACCGTTGGCATAGTTATTCTGTTCGTCTACCCTGTTTGGGCATTGGTGCTTGACATCCTATAGACTTTACTACCATTCTTACCATCATGTGAGGTCTTCTGTGGTTTGGACATTGTGTTAAATTCCTTTTTTGTATTAATTCATGTAGACACCAACAAAATTCATATTTTCATTGTGTTTACGTACGAGTCTAGTTTGTATTTATGAAAGTGTGAGCAGAAACCTTGTGGAAGAGACTTATTTCTCTTTGATGTAGAGAGAGCTCAGTATTTGTTCAATGATTCTTGATGGACCTTCTCTTATTATCTTATGTAATAAACATCATATGTTACTGGAACTCTTTTCATCAACAACGAAAGAAGAAAGAAATACAACTTAATTAGAAGGAAGACAAAAAACAAGGGGAGAGAGAGAGAGAGAGAGAGAGAGAGAGAGAGAGAGAATCAAATGGGACATACCCAGCATTACATTTGAAGGCAATGATTAGGGAAAAACTTTGTTTTGGGCACTGGCAAATCATCCTTGATCACTAGGTGGACTCCGCAGCTTTCGAAAAAGACTGAACCTTTGATGGTAAGGTCAAAACTAACTTTGCACTTATAAGGTGGCAAGCCACTTCTTGTCTTGGCTATCATTGTATGAAATGGGATATAATACAGCCACAGGTGAGCTGACTCTTCTCTTTCAAATCGAAATAAACCACATGTTCATGAGAGCATTCTTCATCCATGTAAACTCTGGCTATCAAGCAACAATTGCCAGCACTGTTTTGCTTAATTTCAACAGTAGCACAGAGAGCCAACCCTGTTTTTGACCATTTGAAATTGGGAGGGATTTCAACAGAAACTTCACATTCACTACGGTCCTTCAAAATCCCTACAACAGCTGAACCACTTTGGAAACTCATTTCCCTCAAACACAGATTGTTGGGAGAGAAACACAGAGGACAGAACAACCAGACACAGTACAATCTCTTTCGTCTTTGCCACACCGGCCAGATTGTCACAGAGTCTCCAGCAATTAGACAAGTTCATCCAACCAATCATATGCGAGTCACAAGTTGCAACACCCCAGCTGGGAGCACTATCAAGGACGATGACATGGCTATGGATGTGTTTTGAAATTTAACGTCTCAAAGGGATTTGGACCGTTTGGTTCCAAATGAAGACCCTTTACATCTAGAAAATTCGAAGCTCAGCCATGGTGTTTCTGAATTCTGACGAGTAAGCATCAGCCATCAGCAAGCATGCAATTAGCAAAAGGGCATTGAGTATGGTGTTTCTGACCATTACTTTTGTGCTCATCAAAAATGTTTTTTTCTTGCCTTCAGGTTTAGATATAATAACAGGTCGAAGCATGCTCTGGTCCCAAGTCCCCCAATGCCTTTCTGTCAAGCACCACCGCAGCAATAAGAAAAGACCCAAAAGTTGTTTCCAAAATACCAAACCTGTGAACCAATTGGAAAATCAACATATTCAAAACTTCAGAAGATTCGAATAAAGAAAGTGGAAATTAGTGCTAAGACCCCAACAAACAGAATCTCATCTACTGAGGCAAATAGATAGAGATGAGATGAGAGGGCAGGGGTTTGTTTTCAATGCTATCCACGACATATTCACCTTGAGACAGTTAAATTCGATTCATTCTTCTTCCTCTGCATGATTTCATTGCCTATGTGGCCGACCAATGTCATCTGCATTAAAAACATCATTATCTTTCATGAACGAGATTAGAATTATCCTCAAATGAGTCCATAAGAAGTGATCAAGTACGTAATGTGAATAAACTTTTATAAATTGATGGATAAATTAACTTATGCAAAATGGTTATTAGGAAAAATTATCTTGAGCTCGCCCTACAATAGTGTACCAAAAATGAAACAGAACTGTACTTTGGTAGCTTGTTGGAGCAACGATAAAACATTCAAAATTAGCTAAAATAGCTAAAATAGCTTTCTAGGCTATATTCAGGAGTACTTAAAATCACAGGTGAGGTGACCAGGTTCAACCAATGGCCTTGACAGTTATATATCATCAAAGGAAATTCAGGGGCAAACAGAGAAGAAAGAGCTGACCATTATCTCCTGTGTGTGTTGGTCTATCTGGAAGGCCATTCTGAAAGTGTATTCTGAGGTCTGCAAGTGAATCCAATGCCTGTCATAACACAAGCCTCAACTGGAGCCGCAAAGTTTTTTGGAAGTACAAGAATCAGTGGTTAAATCAAAGCCGGAAGAAGACTTGAGGAAACCCATAAACAAATGCACATTGCTCCTACCAGAGGAATCAGTGAAAAATATCGACTTGGATGGTGCTTGTGATGCAGGGCAGGAATAATCACTAGGGATTGTGTCGCCTGTGTGGTAGGGGGCCAAGACCGGAGCTTTACAGCCTCATTAGCAGTAGTTGCATTTGTGAAAGCCCCTCTTAAACTTGCGAAAACAACTCTTGAACTTGGACAGCATTGTTGGGGTTGATGACTGCACCCCCTTTTTTTAAGTCCACTAGTATCTACATTGAATGAAGGATGAGCTTTCAATTTCTTCTGGAACAACAGCTTCATTAATTTCCGTCTCTCTCCCCAACATGAGGCAACATGCAAAGCCCTAACCAACAACAAATAGGAGAACTAATGCAGCAACACCAAGGAGAAAATAAGGCTGAGCCAATCAGCAATCTGTTCTGCTATAAAAAACACAACGCAGCCGCAGGAAGATCAAAGTCGACAGCCAGCAACACACTTTAATAATACAGCAAGGCAGCACTAACCATAAAAGCAGGTCAAAAGACAGGTACTGTGAAGAGCAACTAGCCAAAAACAGTGGCGCACCAAGGGGAGACCAACCCATAGGGACTGCAATACTAGCAACCCCAAACTGAAGGAAGGACAGTAGAATCACCACACCAGTAACAAATCATTTACAAAACCAAACAGCAAGCAGTAAAGACAGCCAGGAAACCATTAGAGCAGCTGCACGAAAAGAAAAGCAAGACCATGTAAGCCACCAGGAATAGTCCTCTGGAAGTATAACTTTATACGGTATATCCTAGTGGACATCATCTAATCTGAAACAATAGGGTGCAAACCAGTCTCCTCTCCTCTTATCTCATCTTGCATAGAGCAAGACTGCACCATTCCAACATCCACCGTTCAAAACTCAATTGAAGTCTAAGAAACCGATCACGGGGAATTAACACAAACAATCACAAATACAGATCACTGAATTTTACCCACGGGCTTGCGAATGTCAGCTTGTAAGAAGGATGCAAATCCTTATCATCCCAATCACATTTGAACGCTACTGTCCTTTCCCTTTGGAGGATTGATCGATTGGTATCTTCCTGGACATACCCATGCCTTTATACTGAGGTCTTCATCCTGGTGGCATTACTAGGTGGACTCCGCAGCTTTTCACAGCTTTGCTAATACGCACAAAATGAACTCGGATTGTAGGCAAATAAGGCGGCATCATCCATGTTCTTTTCGTGCATGCCATTCCCGACATAAAATCACGGAAAGGGAAATATGACAGCCACACTAAACTCGATTCTTTCCCTGTTGGATAAATATTAGAAGGGCATACTTCCTTCACGTACATATCAACAGCAAACTCCCTGATTCTGGTTTTCATCTCAACAAGGAACCTATTTTTGGTCTTTTCGAGAAAAGCACAAAAAGAAATTCCTTTGTTCTCCCAATTGAAATTTTGAGAGGTTTTAATAGAGAATTGACATTCGCAAAGATCCTTCAAATCCTTACGATAACTGAACCACTTTGGAATTCCCCTTCCTGGAAATTCAACCATGACATGAGATGTGAGAGACAAGAGAAAGAGAGAGAAGAGATTGACTTGATTTATGAACATACTTTTCTTCTTTGCAATTCGAACCAGATTGTTACGCATTCTCCAACAATTAGTCAAGCGCATTTGGCTGAACATTTGAGACTCTTTACGTTCCAAAATGTTGGACAATTTTGAAACTCTTTCCAATGATAAACAATCACTCACATCTAAAAATTCCAATGCATGTGGAAGATCTGGAATTTCTCTAAGTCTCCGGCAACTTATCAAAAAAAGTTGCTCCAAGTTGACAATGTTATTAATGCATACGGGAAGACTAACGAAATTGCTTCCTGATAGATCGAGTTTAGTTAATGTGGTCATGCAATCAAGAGTCAGAAGGAAATCGGCAATGTCTGAAAGATTGGATCCGCCCACATAGAATCTAGATAGCTTGGGAAACGCTAAATTGCCTCCTTGAAGAGTCACAAGTGATTCTGCACTCCTTGAATCTTCAGACTTCGCCATTTTAGGAAATGAAACCAATTTTGAGATGAAGGCAATTCTTTGATGGAAGTCTTTGATAGATTCAGGTATTTCAAAGATTCCATCTTCCCCTTAATTTCAGGAAAATTCTCAAGACTTATGCAACCGTAAAGATTCAACTTCAGCAGAGATTTCAAGTTGACAATTCTTGGAAACAGAGTAAGACTACGGCATCCCGTAAGACTCAACTCAACAAGCTTATGAAGGAATCCAGCAGAAGGATGAAGCTCAACTAAACTTGTACAATCGTCTAGATTCAACGTCTCCAAGTTTGGGACTCCAGAGAAGTCAGGGGTTTTTCTTAGGAATTTGCTGCGCTCCAAATTTAGAAATTTCAAACTCTGTCCCACAAAACAGGGAGAAAAAGAATAAACTCCCAATATGCGGAAAAAAAAATAAAAATAAAAATAAACTCTTGAAAAAGGCTGTAATTTAAATACCTTGAATTCCAAATCCAGTCGTAAAATGCGGCTACGAGGCATAGTAAGAGCAACAAGTTTCTTTGGATTAAAACTGGCTGGCAAAGATTGTGATGGATATTCAGGCCAGCTAAGGAACCTCAACTCATTGGGAAGATAATCAACTTCCCCAGACAAGCGCCCATTACGATTTATAAAAAGTCGAAGATTTTTCATCTTTGAGAAGCTTCCAGCATTCAAACATACCTCATCTGACTCAACCCCAGCAGGCAACTTCACCATAATACCTTTGATCTTATCTGTTCCCTAGTATGAAAAAGCAATACTATTAGCAAAGGACAAGTTTTTTGTGAAATAAAAATAAAATGTTTTAAATTATATATTCTACTTACTGTGTTTTCTGTTAAAACATGGTAAACATCCTCGTGAAACCACAACCTACTACGTTTTCCGGGCTCAGTTGGTGACTCTTGGCGAACTACTTCTTTACCCATTTTTTGTATCAAGTCATGCATCCAAATGCAGCCTTCTTCTGTAATATTTATAAGAGCCTTTTCTACGAGTACTTCAAGATCATACTTAGGGTTGAGGTCACAATCTTCTAGTACATGTATCACACAATCCTCGCCTAGACCTTTATAGAAAAATGCAATATCAAGGAAAACTTCCTTCACCCCATCTTCTAGTGCATTATAACTTATTTTGAGAATTTCTTGAATCTCTCGGTTAGGAACTCTTTTGTAACCATCTAATGCATATTTCCATTGATCAATACTTCTACCACATAGATGTGAACCCAAAACCATCAGAGCTAATGGAAGACCGTCAGCATAGTCTACCACCTTGTTTGCAAGTTTCGCATAATCATCTTTTAAGTGTCCAGTTCTTGAAAATGAATTCCAACTGGTGAAGAGCTTTAAGGACTCATAATGATCTAACTTCTCAACCTCATATATTAGATTGACTTGATGAGCAATTAGCAAATGCTTATCTCTTGTCGTTAGAACAATTCTGCTGCCTGAACCAAACCAATCAGACCTTCCAACTAATTTGTTTAATTGGTCCAATTGATTCACATCGTCAAGAATTAGGAGAAGCTTCTTACCATTCAACATTTTCTTTATCACATTGATTCCTTTGTCAACATTGGTCACCTTTACTTCTTTCACCCCTAGAATCTCAGAAAGAAGAATATTTTGTAGTTTGACTAAGCCTCCATACGACATCGATCTTTCTCTAACATCATCTAGAAAACAGCTACCTTCAAACATATGGGCGATGGAATTATAAACAGCTTTAGCAATTGTTGTCTTACCTATTCCACCAGTGCCCCATATCCCTACCATGCGAACATCGTTTCCTCCAATGCCCAAAAGCTCATCTATCTCGTGCATACGAGACTCTATTCCAATTGGGTACTTTGCTACATTCAAATACGCATGGTTTAATACTTGTAATGAAATCGCTTCAACGATGTTGTCAATAAATTTTGATTCATGCCTGCAAAGGTTATACAATATGCAAAAGATTAATGATGAATAACGTTTTGTAATATTATATATATATGCTTTTTATCACAAATGGTTCTTGAGGTTTGCGAAATTATCAAATTCCGTCCCTAATAACATTTTTTTTTTACACTAATGGTCCTTAAGGTTAGCCCTCCACCCATCAAAATGGTCCCTGCCATTAGCTTCCATCAAATTTTCTGTTAAATTGATGACGTGGCACATATGTGGAATCCACACATCCAATGGTACATCTTTTTAATATTTTTTTTAAATATCTTTCTCTCTCCCTCTCCTTGTGTTGTCTTTCCCTTTCCCCCTTGCAAACCCACTCCTCTCTCCCTCCTCTTCCTCCCTTCGCTTTCTCTCTCCCTCTCCCCATGTTAACTTTCCCTCCCCCTCCTTGCATACCCACTTATCTCTCTCTCTCTCTCTCTCTCTCTCTCTCTCTCAAAACAGAGCATGAAATATATTTAAAAATATATAAAAAGATTTAAGTTGCTTTTAATTTTTATTTATTTATGAATTTTAAGTTTTAAAAATATTAAAAATATATTATATTACATTTAAAACTACGTGGCTCTATACCATTGGATGTGTGAGCTCCACACATGTGCCACATTAACAATTTTATAGAAAATTTGACGGAAGCTAACGATAGGGACCATTTTGATGTGTTGAGGGTAACCTTAAAGACCATTAGTGTCACACAAAAAAGGTTAGGGACGAAAGGTGATAATTTCGTAAAACTCAGGAACCATTTGCGATAAAAAGCCTATATATATATATCTGTGTGTGTGTGTGTGTGTGTGTGTGTGTGTGTGTGTGTGTGTGTGTGTGTGTGTATAACTCCCTTCTAAAAGGAATCCCCTTTTGACTATTTACAAAAATGGATCACAAGTTCGGATAACATGAACCGTTTATTTTTAAGAAAAATTAGGTATTAGACATGACTATTTACAATAATGTCCTTATTTTTAAGGACAATATTCAAGGATCACTCTTATAAAAAATTACCAAAATCCGAAATATTTAGTCATCTAAAAATGCGGCAACAAATAGATTAATTCAACTTTTCCTCTACAAGATGTTCATGGTGATAATCAAATGGTACGATTTCAGATTTTGCTAATTTTTTGCATGGATAATTCTTAATTTGGGGATCGAAAAACTAGACAGTTTGTATGTATAAGGATCAGGTTCAAAGGACACACAAAAGCCACATCTTTAAACCTTGGATGTTCAAAAGCATTTGACATTAAAAACAATGCCTTTGTATTAAAAGATGTGGGAAATAAACAATGGGTCCTGATCCTATTCTAACAGTTTCAATTTCCATTAAAATATCAGAAATAAACAAGTCTAGGAAGCAGCTAAGGTGCGTGGTTGAAAATAAATATATACCCGTTCATGAAACACCATCCGGACAGATTGGCTGCTTCCGTAAGAGTTCTCCTCCATCTTTGCACCTTCTCCATGTCATCTTTAAATTCGCATTCATAGTCAGCAAGTGCCTGACCGAAACTGCCCCTTTGATGCCGTACATCCGACGGATTCACCTTGTAAAAAACAGGCCAAACTATTTGCTCCCTTGTTTCTTTACTCTCAAGGATCTTGTCGAGTTCATCCAAGCACCACTTCGAAGATGCATAGTTTTCGGAGAACACGATGATGGAAATCTTCGACTCTTCGATCGCTCTGAGAAGGGCCGGTGATATTTCTTCCCCTCTCTTAAGACCATCATCTATGAAGGTTCTAATTCCCTTCCGAGTCAAATTACTGTGCAGATGATCAGTAAAGTTGAATCGCGTATCCTCGCCTCTGAAACTCAGGAAGACGTCGTATGTCATTGAATGACTGACTTTTGATTGGGTGCCGGAGAAGTAAACAGGCTGATCAAAGAGCTGGGAAGGGCATGGCCTCTGGGTTTCTTTTCTTTTAATAAGAAAGCATCTTATGAGCGAGGGAAGCTGCGAGGAAGTTAGCTGTCAAGCTAGATCGATCTGCTTAAACACAATTACCTCCTTTTTTGGTTCTAGTTTCTCCTTTTCTCCCGAGTATCAAACAAGACAAAATGCAATTTGTTTCTACATCATATCCAATATAAATATGCCAAATTTTCCGGGAAAGTTTTTGTCCATTTACTCACGATTCAAACAAACATTCAAGCTTTCAGTCTACATGCCTTTACAACAAAAACGTGACACTCAAATTAACGTAAATTATTAACCCCGTAACACATATAACGCACAACACATGCAACAACAGCAAGTAATTCCAAAATTGGACGAGAGATATACCTGAGAAACTGCCATGGAGACTCCAACCCCTCCGGCAACTCCATGAGCCCATCTTTAGCATAAATGCTCCTGTAAACAGGCCCCGCCGATGGAATAAACTTTTATAAATTGATGGATAAATTAACTTATGCAAAATGGTTATTAGGAAAAATTATCCTGAGCTCGCCCTACAATAGTGTACCAAAAATGAAACAGAACTGTACTTCGGTAGCTTGTTGGAGCCACGATAAAACATTCAAAATTTGCTAAAATAGCTAAAATAGCTTTCTAGGCTATATTCAGGAGTACTTGACAGTTATATATCATCACAGGAAATTCAGGGGCAAACAGAGAAGAAAGAGCTGACCATTATCTCCTGTGTGTGTTGGGCTGTCTGGAAAGCCATTCTGAAAGTGTATTCTGAGGTCTGCAAGTGAATCCAATCCCGGTCATAATAACACAAGCCTCAACTGGAGCCGCAAAGTTTTTTGGAAGTACAAGAATCAGTGGTTAAATCAAAGCCGGAAGAAGACTTGAGGAAACCCATAGATAAATGCACTTTGCTCCTACCAGAGGAATCAGTGAAAAATATCGACTTGGATGGTGCTTGTGATGCGGGGGCAGGAACAATCACTAGGGATTGTCTCGCCTGTGTGGTAGGGGGCCAAGACCGGAGCTTTACTGCCTCGTTAGCAGTAGTTGCATTTGCGAAAGCCCCTCTTAAACTTGCGAAAACAACTCTTGAACTTGGACATCATTGTTGGGGTTGATGACTGCACCCCCTTTCTTTAAGTCCACTAGTATCTACATCGAATGAAGGACGAGCTTTCAATTTCTTCTGGAACAACAGCTTCATTAATTCCTATCTTTCTCTCCCCAACATGAGGCAACATGCAAAGCCCTAACCAACAACAAATAGGAGAACTAATGCAGCAACACCAAGGAGAAAATAAGGCTGAGCCAAACAGCAATCTGTTCTGCTATAAAACACACAACGCAGCCGCAGGAAGAACATGGTCTACAGCCAGCAACACACATTAATAATACAGCAAGGCAGCACTAACCGTAAAAGCAGGTCAAAAGACAGGAACTGTGAAGAGCAACTAGCCAAAAACAGTGGCGCACCAAGGGGAGACCAACCCATAGGGACTGCAATACTAGCAACCCCAAACTGAAGGAAGGACAGTAGAATCACCACACCAGTAACAAATCATTTACAAAACCAAACAGCAAGAGTTAAGACAGCCAGGAAACCATTAGAGCAGCTGCACGAAAAGAAAAGCAAGACCATGTAAGCCACCAGGAATAGCAGCACCAGAACACTAAGGGATCACAAACTCGGAGTTCCATGTGGCACAATTGCTAAGCTGTAAACAATAGTGCTCTCATCTCATCTTGCATAGAGCAAGACTGCACCATTCCAACATCCACCATTCAAAACTCAATTGAAGTCTAAGAAACCAATCATGTGGAATTAACACAAACAATCACAAATATAGATCACTGAATTCTACCCACGGGCTTGAGAATGTCAGCTTGTAAGAAGGATGCAAATCCTTATCTTCCCAATCACATTCGAATGCTACTGTCCTTTCCCTTTGGAGGATTGATCGATTGGTATCTTCCTGGACATACCCATGCCTCTATACTGAGGTCTTCATCCTGGTGGCATTACTAGGTGGACTCCGAAGCTTTTCACAGCTTTGCTAATACGCACAAAATGAACTCGGATTGTTTCCCTATTCGATGAATTTCATTTACGGATATTTCATCGATGTAAATATCAATAGCAAACTCCCTGATGCTGGGTTTAATTTTAAAAAGGAACCTTTTTTTGGTCTTTTCGAGAAAAGCACAAAAACAAATTCCTTTGTTCTCCCAATTGAAATTTTGAAGGGTTTTAATAGAGAATTGACATTCGCGAAGATCCTTCAAATCCTTACGATAACTGAACCACTTTGGAATTCCCCTTCCTGGAAATTCAACCACGACATAAGATGTGAGAGAGAGGAGAAAGAGTGAGAAGAGATTGACTTGATTTATGAACATATTTTTCTTCTTTGCAATTCGAACCAGATTGTTACGCAGTCTCCAACAATTAGTCAATCTCATTCCCTTGAACATTTGAGACTCTTTACGTTCCAAAATGTTGGACAATTTTGAAACTCTTTCCAATGATAAGCAATCACTCACATTTAAATATTTCAATGCACGTGGAAGATCTGGAATTTCTCTAAGTCTCTTGCAACTAACCAACCGAAGATCACGCAAGTTGACAAAGTTATTAATGCATACGGGAAGACTAACGAAATTGCTTCCTGATAGATCAAGTGTAGTTAATTTGGTCATGCAATCAAGAGTCAGAAGGTCGGCAATGTCTGAAAGATTGGATCGGCCCACATAGAATCTAGATAGCTTGGGAAACGCTAAATTGCCTCCTTGAAGAGTCACAAGTGATTCTGCACTCCTTGAATCTTCAGACTTCTCCATTTTAGGAAATGAAACCAATTTTGAGCATTTCATGACAGAAATTGACACTAGGTGCTTCAACTCATAAATGCTGAATGGCAGATTTGTAAGGTTTTCACATCCGGTTAAATTCATTTCCTCGAGACGAGTGAAATGTCGAATTGACGATGAAGGCAATTCTTTGATGGAAGTGTATGCTAGATACAGGTATTTCAAAGATTCCATCTTCCCCTTAATTTCAGGAAACAGAGTAAGACTACGGCATCCCATAAGCCTCAACTTAACAAGCTTATGAAGGAATCCAGCAGAAGGATGAAGCTCAACTAAACTTGTACAATCGTCTAGATTCAACGTCTCCAAGTTTGGGACTCCAGAGAAGTCAGGGGTTTTTCTTAGGAATTTGCTGCGCTCCAAATTTAGAAATTTCAAACTCTGTCCCACAAAACAGGGAGAAAAAGAATAAACTCCCAATATGCGGAAAAAAAAATAAAAATAAAAATAAACTCTTGAAAAAGGCTGTAATTTAAATACCTTGAATTCCAAATCCAGTCGTAAAATGCGGCTACGAGGCATAGTAAGAGCAACAAGTTTCTTTGGATTAAAATTGGGTGGCAAAGATTGTGACGGATATTCAGGCCAGCTAAGGAGCCTCAACTCATTGGGAAGATAATCAACTTCTCCAGACAAGCGCGCATTATGATTTATAAAAAGTCGAAGATTTTTCATCTTTGAGAAGCTTTCAGCATTCAAACATACCTCGTCTAACTCAAGCCCAGCAGGCAACTTCACCATAATACCTTTGATCATATCCGTTCCCTAGTATGAAAAAGCAATACTATTAGCAAAGGACAAGTTTTTTGTGAAATAAAAATAAAATGTTTTAAATTATATATTCTACTTACTGTGTTTTCTGTTAAAACATGGTAAACATCCTCGTGAAACCACAACCTACTACGTTTTCCAGGCTCAGTTGGTGACTCTTGGCGAACTACTTCTTTACCCATTTTTTGTATCAAGTCATGCATCCAAATGCAGCCATCATATGTAATATTTATAAGAGCCTTTTCCACGAGTACTTCAAGATCATACTTAGGGTTGAGGTCACAACCTTCCAGTATTTGTATCACATAATCCTTGTCTTGACCTTTAAAGAAACATGCAATATCAAGGAAAACTTCCTTCACCCCATCTTCTAGTGCATTATAACTTATTTTGAGAATTTCTTGAATCTCTCGGTTAGGAACTCTTCTGTAACCATCTAATGCATATTTCCATTGATCAAGACTTCTACCACATAGATGTGAACCCAAAACCATCAGAGCTAATGGAAGACCCTCAGCATAGTCTACTACATCGTTTGCAAGTTTCGCATAATCATCTTCTAAGTGTCCATTTCTTGAAAATGAATTCCAACTGGCGAAGAGCTTTAAGGACTCATAATGATCTAACTTCTCAACCTCATATATTAGATTGACTTGATGAGCAATTAGCAAATGCTTATCTCTTGTCGTTAGAACAATTCTGCTGCCTGAACCAAACCAATCAGACCTTCCAACTAATTTGTTTAATTGGTCCAATTGATTCACATCGTCAAGAATTAGGAGAAGCTTCTTACCATTCAACATTTTCTTTATCACATTGATTCCTTTGTCAACATTGGTCACCTTTACTTCTTTCACCCCTAGAATCTCAGAAAGAAGAATACTTTGTAGTTTGACTAAGCCTTCATACGGCATTGATCTTTCTCTAACATCATCTAGAAAACAGCTACCTTCAAACATATGGGCGATGGAATTATAAACAGCTTTAGCAATTGTTGTCTTACCTATTCCACCAGTGCCCCATATCCCTACCATGCGAATATCGTTTCCTCCAACACCCAAAAGCTTAACTATCGCGCGCACACGAGACTCTATTCCAACTGGGTACTTTGCTACATTCAAATACACATGGTTTAATACTTGTAATGAAATAGCTTCAACGATGTTGTCAATAATTTTGATTCATGCCTGCAAGGTTATACAATATACGAAAGATTAATGATGAATAACATTTTGTAATATTATATATATATGCGCTTTTTATCACAAATGGTCCCTGAGGTTTGCCAAATTATCAAATTTCGTCCCTAACATTTTTTTTTACACTAATGGTCCTTAAGGTTAGCCTCCACCCATCAAAATGGTCCCTGCCGTTAGCTTCCGTCAAATTTTCTGTTAAATTAATGATGTGGCACATATGTGGAACCCACACATCCAATGGTACATCTTTTTAATATATTTTTAAATATCTTTCTCTCTCTCCCTCTCCTTGTGTTCTCTTTCCCCTTCCTCCTTGCAAACCCACTCCTCTCTTCCTCCCTTCACTTTCTCTCTCCCTCTCCCTGTGTTAACTTTCTGTCCCCCTCCTCGCATACCCACTTCTCTCTCTATCTCTCTCTCTCTCTCTCTCTCAAAACAGAGCATGAAATATATTTAAAAATATATAAAAAGATTTAAGTTGCTTTTAATTTTTTATTATTTATCAATTATAAGTTTTAAAAAATTAAAATTATATTATATTACATTTAAAACTACGTGGCTCTATACCATTGGATGTGTGGACTCCACACATGTGCCACATTAACAATTTAATAGAATATTTGACGGAAGCTAACGGTATGGACCATTTTGATGTGTGGGTAACCTTAAAGACCATTAGTGTCACAAAAAAAATTAGGGACGAAAGGTGATAATTTCGTAAACCTCAGGGACCATTTGTGATAATAAATAAATAAATAAATAAAAAGCCTAGTGTGTGTGTGTGTGTACAACTCCCTTTTAAAAGGAATCCCCTTTTGACTATTTACAAAAATGGATCTTAGGTTCGGATAACATGAACCGTTTATTTTTAAGGACATTATTCAAGGATCACCAAAAATCAGTTCATCAAAAAATCACCAAAATCAGTTCATCAAAAAATCACCAAAATCCGAAATATTTATTCATCTAAAAATGCGGCGACAAATAGATTAATTCAACTTTTCCTCTACAAGATGTTCATGGTGATAATCAAATGGTACGATTTCGGATTTTGCTAATTTTTTGCAGGGTTAATTCTTAATTTGGGGATCGAAAAACTAGACAGTTTGTATGTATAAGGATCAGGTTCAAAGGACACACAAAAGCCACATCTTTAAAACCTTGGATGTTCAAAAGCATTTGACATTAAAAACAATGCCTTTGTATATGGGTCCTGATCCTATTCTAACAGTTTCAATTTCTATTTAGTAAGCAGCTAAGGTGCGTGGTTGAAAATAAATATATACCCGTTCATGAAACACCATCCGGACAGATTGGCTGCTTTCGTAAGACTTCTCCTCCATCTTTGCACCTTCTCCATGTCATCTTTGAACTCGCATTCATAGTCAGCAAGTGCCTGACCGAAACTGCCCCTTTGATGCCGTACATCCGACGGATCCACCTTGTAAAAAACAGGCCAAACTATTTGCTCCCTTGTTTCTTTACTCTCAAGGATCTTGTCGAGTTCATCCAAGCACCACTTCGAAGATGCATAGTTTTTGGAGAACACGATTATGGAAATCTTCGACTCTTCGATCGCTCTGAGAAGGGCCGGTGATATTTCTTCCCCTCTCTTAAGACCATCATCTATGAAGGTTCTAATTCCCTTCAGAGTCAAATTACTGTGCAGATGATCAGTAAAGTTGAATCGCGTGTCCTTGCCTCTGAAACTCAGGAAGACGTCGTATGTCATTGAATGACTGACGTTTGATTGGGTGCCGGAGAAGTAAACAGGCTGATCAAAGAGCTGGGAAGGGGATGGCCTCTGGGTTTCTTTTCTTTTAATAAGAAAGCATCTTATGAGCGAGGGAAGCTGCGAGGAAGTTAGCTGTGAGCTTCAACCTCCTTTGTGAGAACACTGCGAGGTCGATGAAGGTGAAGGGAAGACAAGGAAAGAAAGGAAACAAAGAAAGAGGAAGGGCCAGTGTTCTTCCGTTGAAACTTCAAACGTCTTTTCCAGTCCAATTATGGGTAGTTGAAAAATCCAAAACGACAAAAGTTCATACGCGTAGTAGTTGGTGTGTTTCTGTTTTGTCCTTTAATTCTACTTTAAACAAGCGATAATCTATTTTAATACAAGCGATAATCTAAGCTACAAGGAGAGTGGAGTTTTTCCCCACACACTAGCAAAGTACCAGGCCAGTTCAAACCTGACCCTGTTGGCAACTTTTTCTTTTTCTTTTTGGGTGGATTTGTTGGTGATAAAGACAACTAAGAAATCCACGAAGATTATTTTACATTGCATAGACCAAGATCTATTGAGAATCAGTTCATCATTGATTTTGGGGTTATAGCAATGTAGACAAGCAATTGGTACCTGAGAGATCAGAAGTAAAGTAGCCATTAATTCTTTATGGTCTTTAACTTCCATACAAATGGTTTGGGAAGCAAATCGTTTCTTGTCAAATATGATATCTGACATTCATACTGGAAGAGTGAATGAATATAGCAATTCTGTGTGTATTTGCAAGCACAAATAACTGACATTGGGACAAATACATATATGGTTCTCAAACCAGAACTTTTCATATTATCTTTATTTAATATTTATACACAAACTAACTTAGACGGACTCACAGGGATCCGAATCCAGAGTCTTTGTGGGTAGCACCTGCCCACTGTCAGCAATCACATCTTTGGGAAATTGTGGTAAAAAGATTTTCTCCAGTAGCTTCTGACTTTCGACATTGCTGTCATACCCTTGCTTCCTTTGCTTCACTGTACAGTTTATCTGTTAGTTTAAGAGAGAGGAGGTTTGGGAAATGGTTGATAGTGTTTAGGACAATAACTTAACTTAGAAAGGAAGACTTTTAAAAGAGTAACAAAATATTTTATTTTATTTGAATGAAGGGAGAAAGTTACAAAGCTTTTAGAGTTTACTAGTGGGAGAGTTAGACAAGCTTTTGTTTTCCAACACACACATTGGCATAGGCATCAAGCCTATATATAGAAGACTTGACCGACATTGCTAAAGTCGGTGGGATTAGCACTTTGAATATTTTATATTATAACACACTTTGATTTCTAAGATTTTTTGTATTCACCGACTTTGTCAAGTCGGTTTGCACATTCTTTTAAACTCTAGTTTTTTCTATATCATTCAAGATCTTTCTAGATTATTTCAAGTACAAGTGTGCATTATTTTTTTAACATTATCAATACGGTCCTGCAGATGATATTCCAAAAAATATAAACTGAACATTCACTTGACGAAGTCAGCTTTTACTATTTGTGAGAGAGAGAGAGAGAGAGAGAGAGATTTATGGCATAAATCTGCACTTGATCATTAACAATAGAAATTCATTTCTTTTAAGAAATAATCCAAGGCTGCAAGGGTGGGGAAAGGATATTAAGTGAGTGGCAAACTGAAGGCCTACCAGGTGCTTGAAAAGGAAGTCGCACAGTTACAGTGAGGAGATTTAAGACAATATATAGAAAGAGAGAGCAGAAGGCATACCTTGTAATATTTAAGTAGGTGTGGTCTCTTCAGTTTGAATGTTGGAGTTATAAGATCCCTCTCCATGTCCAAGGGATTTGGTTCCTAGTGAACTGCTTTTAACAGCTCAAAACCTCGAAGCTGCAGGAAGGTCACCCAAGTCAGATTGAGTAGACATTAACAAAGCATCGAATTAGAGACAGGGAGTTGAGGAGACAATTATCTACATACTTGCTGCTTCTGACCAACACTATTGAGCTCATCCAAAATGTACTTTCTTGCCTTCAGGTTTTGACATAATGATTTAAAATCATCGGTCAAATGATGCTCCGCTGCCCAATCCTCCAATGCCTTTCTGTCAGGGACCACCACAGCAACAAGAAACGACTCAAAGCTGTTCCCATAAACCCAAATCTGCAAACCAGAGGAAAGTGCAGATATCCACAACTTTAGAAAACAGGAAAACAACCAAAAGGAAATTTTCACAAATTAAACCAAAAATACAAACTCGTCAATGGAGGAAAACAGAGGCGAGTCCTAATGTATGGAAATAGTTCTACTTCTATTGGATGTAGTAACAAGCAACATACCGATGTGATAAGAGGGCATCGCAGGTATTTGCTTTCAATGTTTTCCACAGCAACATATTCACCTTGAGACAGTTAAAATATTTTCTTTTTCCTATCTATAATTTTCATTGCTCCATTAGGCTGCAATTCTCCAATGTCACCAGCAGTCCACTCAAAGTCAAGAAATACCACATTTTAATGAACAGTGGTGACATCTTGACAAGCCATCAATAAGGACTTCCTCTGTCAGATCTTGTCGCTTGTGGTAACCAGAAAACAAGGATTTTCCTCTCAGGCAGATCTCTCCACGTGGCACACTGGAAAGTGCATCATATCCCATTTCTGGCACTGACTCAAGCCTTGTTTCAAAAGTTATCATGGGGACGCCCACAGTTCCCATCATAGGAAAAACATTGCCAATGGACGTAAGACATCCACCACAGCTTTCAGTGAGGCCTAAATGTCAAAGAGCTTAACAAGCCGATGGAAAGCTCTTTTTTTAAGGAAAATTTTTATAAACTACTGTTGATGTGTTGTGCATCAAAATTTAAAAAGCTCGCGTCACTAACTAGAAAATCTTGCATACATGGTACATCCTAAAACATGCATATATAGTTGTAATGATAAGTAAATATCTTATAAATTTTCCTGCATTTTGAAAATTATTTATGCTTTAGATTTCATCAGTTAAACAATTAATACCAGCTTCTTCAAAGATGAGAATGAATTCATACTAGGTCAAGTCCGCATCACAATGTCTTTTCTGTTTTCTTGGCCAAATAAAAAGGTCACTGCAAAACCTATGAAGATTACCCACTGTCAGCAATCACATCTTTGGGAAATTGTGGTAAAAAGGTTTTCTCCAGTAGCTTCTCACTTTCGACATTGCTGTCGTACCCTTGCTTCTTTTGCTTCACTGTACAGTTTATCTGCTAGTTTAAGAGAGAAGAGGTTTGGGAAATAACTTAGAAAGGAAGACTTTTAAAAGAGTAACAAAATATTTTATTTTATTTGAATGAAGGGATAAAGTTACAAAGCTTTTAGAGTTGACAAGCTTTTGTTTTTCAACACACACATTGGCGCAGGGAGTTTCACTAAAACACCCAAAATAGGGGCTGAAATTATAAAAAAAACCCAGCACCCAAAACACTTTATAAACACACCCAAAACCTATCATTACACACACTCAAAACCCATTTATAAACACACTCAAAAAAATATACAATTGTTGATTTTGGGTGTGTTTTTATGTTTAAATAATGCTTAGATTTTTTTATAAATACATGTCTAGAATTGGGTTTATTTATAAATTTGTATATTTGATATTATAACACACTTTATTTTTTGTATTCACCGACTTTGTCAAGTCGGTTTGCACATTCTTTCCTTTAATACAAATTTAGAAATAAACCCAATTCTAGACATGTATTTATAAAAAAACCCAAGCACTATTTAAACATAGAAACACACCCAAAATCAACTCCAAAGTCAACTTTTTGGGTGTGTTTATAAATGGGTTTTGAGTGTATGTAATGATGGGTTTTGGGTGTGTTTATATGTTTAAATAGTGCTTGGATTTTTTTATAATTTCAACCCCTATTTTGGGTGTTTTAGTGAAACTCCCTTCTTTTAAACTCTAGTCTTTTCTATATCATTCAATGTACAAGTGTGCATTATTTTTTTAACATTATCAATACGGTCCTGCAGATGATATTCCAAAAAATATAAACTTAACATTCACTTGACGAAGTCAGCTTTTACTATTTGTGGGAGAGAGAGAGAGCGAGAGGGAGAGAGAGAGAGAGAGATTTATGGCATAGCAATAGAAAAAGAAATAATCCAAGGCCGCAAGGGTGGGGAAAGGATATTGAGTGAGTGGCAAACTGAAGGCCTACCAGGTGCTTGAAAAGGAAGTCGCACAGTTACAGTGAGGAGATTTAAGACAATATATAGAAAGATAGAGCAGAAGGCATACCTTGTAATATTTAAGTAGGTGTGGTCTCTTCAGTTTGAATGTTGGAGTTATAAGATCCCTATCCATTTCAAAGGGATTTGGTTCCAAGTGAACTGCTTTTAACAGCTCAAAACCTCGAAGCTGGAGGAAGGTCACCCAAGTCAGATTGAGTAGACATTAACAAAGCATTGAATTAGAAACAGGGAGTTGAGACAATTACCTACATACTTGCTGCTTCTGACCAACACTATTGAGCTCATAATGATTTAAAATCATCGGTCAAATGATGCTCCGCTGCCCAATCCTCCAATGCCTTTCTGTCAGCGACCACCACAGCAACAAGAAACGACTCAAAGCTGTTCCCATAAACCCAAATCTGCAAACCAGAGGAAAGTGCAGATATCCACAACTTTAGAAAACAGTAAAACAACCAAAAGGAAATCTTCACAAATTAAACCAAAAATACAAACTCGCCAATGGAGGAAAACAGAGGCGAGTCCTAATGTATGGAAATAGTTCTACTTCTATTGGATGTAGTAACAAGCAACGTACCGATGTGATAAGAGGGCATTGCAGGGATTTGCTTTCAATGTTTTCCACAGCAACATATTCACCTTGAGACAGTTTAAATATATTCTTTTTCCTATCTATAATTTTCATTGCTCCATTAGGCTGCAATTCTCCAATGTCACCAGCAGTCCACTCAAAGTCAAGAAATACCACATTTTAATGAACAGTGGTGACATCTTGACAAGCCATCAATAAGGACTTCCTCTGTCAGATCTTGTCGCTTGTGGTAACCAGAAAACAAGGATTTTCCTCTCAGGCGAATCTCTCCACGTGACACACTGGAAAATGCATCATATCCCATTTCTGGCACTGACTCAAGCCCTGTTTCAATAGTTGTCATGGGGACACCCACAGTTCCCATCATGGGAAAAACATTGCCAATAGACGTAAGACATCCACCACAGCTTTCAGTGAGGCCTACATGTCAAAGAGCTTAACAAGCTGATGGAAAGCTCTTTTTTTAAGGAAAACTTTATAAACTACTGTTGATGTGTTGTGCATCAAAATTTAAAAACCTCGCGTCACTGACTAGAAAATCTTGCCATCAGGAATAGCAGGCACCAGAACACTAAGTGATCAGAGACTCAGGGAGAGATTTCCATGCCACAATTGCTGGGAGAGTAGCAGGTTGAGGCTTGAAGCTTTAAATAATATTACTCGGGAGGTATAACTTTATTCCCTAGCGGGCACCATCTACTCTGAAACAATAAGGTGCAGACCAGTCTTCTCCCTCTTATCTCATCTTTAATAAGAGCAAAACTGCACCATTCCAACAATACATTCAAAACTTGATTGAAAAGAAACCAAAATCCTCATGTTGAATTAACACAAAAACAATAACAAATAATAATCATTGAATTGTACCCGCAGGCTTGAGAATGTCATCTTGTAAGAAGGATGCAAATCCTTAGCATCCCAATCACATTTCAAGGCTACTGGTCTTACGCTTTGGAGGATTGATCAGTTGGTATGCTGGTATCTTCAAGGACGCACCCATGCCTCCATACTGACGTTTTCATCCTGGTGGCATTACTAGGTGGACTCCGCAGCTTTTCACAGCTTTGCTAATGCGCACAAAATGAACTCGAAGTGTAGGCAAATAAGGTGGCATCACCCATGAGCTTTTCGCTCTTCCTTTCATGCATTCGTACTCCCATAAGGATTCCCTGACCGACATTATTACAAAGAATGGAATATACCACAGCCATACTACAGTTGACCCTTTCCCTGTAGAATGTGTATTATCAGTGCGTCGTTCATCTAAGTAAATATCAATAGAAAAATCCCTGATGTTAAGTTTGGGCTTAGTGTCAAAATGGAACCTATTTTTGGTTTTTTCAAGAAAAGCACAGACAGCCAATCCTTTGTTCTCAAATTTGAAGTTTTGAGGGATTTTAATGGAGAATGCACATTCGCGAAGATCCTTCAACTCCTGACAACAACTGAACCACTTTGGAATTCCACTTCCTGGAAATACAACCTCGACATAAGATTGCTGAGACGAGAGAAAGAGGGAGAAGAGATTGACCTGATTTATGAACATATTTTTCTTCTTTGCAAAGCGAACCAGATTGTTACGCAGTCTCCAACATTTAGTCAAGTTCATTTCAGAGATCATTTGAGACTCTTTACGTTCCAAAATGTTGGACAAATTTGAAACTCTTTCCAATGATACACAATCACTCACATCTAAAACTTCCATTTCTTGGGGAAGTTCCGGAATTTCTCTAAGTCTCTTGCAACCAACCAACCGAAGTTCATGCAAGTTGACAAAGTTGATAATGCATGCAGGCAGACTAATGAAATTGCTTCCTGATAGATCAAGTCTTGTTAATGTGGCCATGCAATCAAGAGTCAAAAGAAAATTGGTAATTTCTGAAATATTAGATCCCCCCACATTGAATTTAGATAGCTTGGGAAACACTAAATTGCCTCTGTGAAGAGTCACAAGTGATTCTGCAGTCCTTGAATCTTCAGACTTCACCATTTTAGGAAATGTAACCAATTTTGAGCATTTACTCAAAGAAATTTCCACTAGATGCTGCAATTCATAAATGCTGCATGGAAGATTTGTAAGCTTTTCACATCCGGTTAGATACAACGTCTTGAGACTAGTAAAATGTCGAATTGATGATGAAGGCAATTCTTTGATGGAAGTCTTCGATAGATCCAGGTATGTCAAAGATTCCATCTTTCCCATAATTTCAGGGAAATTCTCAAGACTTATGCAGCCTTCAAGATTCAACTTCAGCAGAGATTTCAAGTTGACAATTCTTGGAAACAGAGTAAGACTACGGCATCCGGTAAGACTCAACTTAACAAGCTTATGAAGGAATCCAACAGAAGGATGAAGCTCAACTAAACTTGTACAATAGTTTAGATTCAACTTCTCTAAATTTGGGACTCCAGAGAAGTTAGGGGTTTTTGTCAGGAATTTGCTGTTCTCCACATTTATAAATTTCAAACTCTGCCCCACAAAACAGAGAGAAAAAGAGAGAGGATCGCATCATAAGCTCTTAATAAACTCCCAATATGCTGAGAAAGAAAAAGAAAAAAATAAACTCTTTAAAAAAGCTTTAATTTTAAATACCTTCAATTCCAAATCCAGTCGTAAAATGCGGCTACGAGGCATAGTAAGACCAACAAGTTTCTTTGGATGAAAATTTGCTGGCAAAGATTGTAATGGATATTCAGGCCACCTGAGGAGCCGCAACTCATTGGGAAGATAATCAACTTCTCCAGATAAGCGTGCATTACGATTTAAAAGAATTCGAAGATTTTTCATCTTTGAGAAGCTTTTAGCATTCAAGCATATCTCATCTGACTCAAGGCCAGCAGGCAACTTCACCATGATACCTTTGATCTTATCTGTTCCCTAGTATGAAAAAGCAATAGTATTACAAAAGGATAATTTTTTGTGAAATAATTATAAAAGTGTTTCAAATTATATTCTACTTACTGTATTTTCAGTTAAAACATGGTTAACATCCTCGTGAAACCACAACCTACTACGCTTTCCAGGCTCAGTTGGCGACTCTTGGCAAACTACTTCTTTACCCATTTCTTCTATCAAGTCATGCATCCAAATCCTGCCTTCTTCCGTAATATTTATAAGAGCCTTTTCCACGAGTACTTCAAGATCATACTTAGGGTTTAGGTCACAACCTTCTAGTATTTCAATCACATAGTCCTTGCCTACGCCTTTAAAGAAGCATGCAATGTCAAGGAAAACTTCCTTCACCGCATCGTCTAGTGCACTATAACTTATTTTGAGAATGTCTTGAATCTCCTGGTTAGGCACTCTTCTGTAACCATCTAATGCACATTTCCATTGATCAATACTTCTACCACATAGATGTGAACCTAAAACCATAAGAGCTAATGGAAGACCTTGAGCATAGTCTACTACATTGTTTGCAAGTTTCACATAATCACCATCTAAGTGTCCATTTCTTGAAAATGAATTCCAGCTGGTGAAAAGCTTTAAAGATTCATAATGGTCTAACTTCTCAACCTCATACATTAGATTGACTTGATGTGCAATTAGTAAATGCTTATCTCTTGTCGTTAGTACAATTCTGCTGCCTGCACCAAACCAATCAGACCCTCCAACTAACTTGTTTAATTGGTCCAATTTATTCACATCATCAAGAACTAAGAGAAGCTTCCTACCATTCAACATTTTCTTTATCACATTGACTCCTTTGTCAACATTGGTCACCTTTACTTCTTTCACCCCTAGAATCTCAGAAAGAATAATATTTTGTAGTTCTACTAAGCCTCCATATGGCATTGATCTTTCTCTAACATCTTCTAGAAAACAGCTACCTTCAAACATATGGGCAGTGGAATTATAAACAGCTTTAGCAATTGTTGTCTTACCTATTCCACCAGTTCCCCATATCCCTACCATGCGAACATCATTTCCCCCAACACCCAAAAGCTTACTTATCTCGTGTACACGAGACTCTATTCCAACTGGGTATTTCGCTACATTCAAATAATTATGGTTTAATACTTGTATTGAAATCTCTTCAACAATGTTGTGGATAAATTTTGCTTCATGCCTGCAAGGTTAATAAATGTGAAAGTTAATGATGAAATAGCATTTTGTAAGATATATATATATACGAATGCTGAATTGCTAATCAGTAAGTAAGTTAATAAGGTGCTAACCACTCATTTGACGCACTCCACAATGTCATATAATGATCCAAAATATTTATTTTTCAGGTTTATAATTCAAGGAACATCTCTACCAAAAAAAAAAAAAAAAAAAAAAAAAAGTAGACAAATCGAAAATTGTTTAACCATTTGATTATTATTGCGAACATTTTCATTGTTTATAGGAAATATTGTGTTCGTCTATTTTTCTAATTAAAGATAGATTACTAAGTGTTGTCTAATTTCACTAATTTGTTTTTTCAAGAGTGATCATTGAATGAAAACCTGAAAAAACGAACGGTATGCATATATGAGATGAGAGTGGGTACAAACAAGTGGTTAGTCGTATTAACTTACTTAGCGCTTCCTCCCTCAACGCATCATCTGCCACCTCCCCCACCTACCCTAGAGGGGTGGAGATGGGGAGAAGAGAGGAGGGGAGGAGCTACTTTAAGAGATGAAGAGCTTATTTCAACATTGAAGTAAGAAATGAAGGTCAACTTCTAAATTTTGTCCAAGTTGATAACAGAAGATGAATTAGTCATAAAGGGAATTTATCCCTTCTGAAAGGGATAAGTTTTGTTGATGCCATAGCCCTGCATTACGGGACAAAGGAGTCCAGCATCTCTCGGCACCGTGTTCAGTGAAACAGCAGGCGACCATGCCAGCGTGGATATATGGCCCAAAAAAGGTCATTTTTGTCCTAATCCAAGGATTCGACTATTCATGAACACGTGTGGCTACCTCATACGTACGGAGTCCCACGTCAAAATATTGTAAAGTGTCTCACCCCTTTTTTCTCTATAAATAGGGCATTTACTCCTGGTACTAAATATGGTTTTCCTATCTTACCCTTACTATGCCTAAATATGGTTTTCCTACGTGTGAGGCCCAAGCCCAATGCCGGATTTTGAATTATCGGAAAGGCTATAATGAGGGCTTAAAGTGAGGAGGTTATTTGAGGATGTCAAATCTCACTATCAACAAATGTAAAGAAATCATGGGACTTAAATATTTTAAATGTTTTGACGGTCGGATCGGTCTCCTCAAATAACCTCCTCACTTTAACTCCTCATTGTAGAAGCTCCCTTGAATTATCCAATCAAATCCAATTCTAAGCATCTTTAGTACATGGGGGTCCTAATCCACACTAACAGTTGCAATTTCTATTAAAAGATAAAGAATAAACAAGTTCAGTAAGCAGCTATGGTGCGTGGTTGAAAATATATACCCGTTGGAGAAACACCACCCGGACAGATTGGCCGCTTTCGTAAGAGCTCTCCTCCATCTTTGCACCTTCTCCATGTCATCTTTGAACTCACCTTCATAGTCTGCAAATGCCTGACCGAAACTTCCCTTTTGATTCCGTACATCCGACGGATTCACCTTGTAAAAAATAGGCCAAACTATTTGTTCCCTTGATTCTTTACTGTCAAGGATCTTGACGAGTTCATCCAAACACCACTTTGAAGACGCATAGTTTTCGGAAAATATGATGACAGAACTCTTCGAATCTTTGATTGCTCTGAGAAGCGCCGGCGATATTTCTTCCCCTCTCTTAAGAGCATCATCTCTGAAGGTTCTAATTCCCTTCTGAGTCAAATTGATGTGCAGATGATCAATAAAGTTGAACCGCGTGTCCTCGCCTCTGAAACTCAGAAACACATCGTACGTCATTGAATGCAGGTTATTTGATTGCATACATGAGAACGAAACAGGTTGATCAAAGAGCTGGGAAGGGAATGGCCTCTTGGTTTCTTTTATTTTAATAAGAAAAGCATCTTATGAGAGAGGAAAGCTGCGAGAAAGTTTGCTGAAACTTCAACCTCCTTAGTGAGAAGAACGCTGCGAAGAAAGGAAGAAAGAATGCAATAAAAAAAGGAAAGGACAGTGTGCTTACGTTGGAATTTCAAATGTCTTTTCAGTCGAATTACGGGAGCAATAATTGATTAGTTTGGTGTGTTTTTATGAGCGAGGGAAGCTGCGAGGAAGTTTGCTGCGAGCTTCAACCTCTTTATGAGAACACTGCCAAGTCAAAGAAGGGAAGACAATGATGGGAAGAAAGAAACAAAAGAAAAAGGAAAGGCCAGTGTGATTCCGTTGAAACGTCAAACATCTTTTTCAGTTCAATTATGGGAGCAATAGTTGACTAGCTGGGTAGTGGAAATGTCCAAAACGACACAGGTTCATCCTATATAATAATTTTTCTTTTCTGATGAACTGTGAGTAAATCCTTTTGACCAGACAAAGACAGGATCATGTAGTGAAATAACAGAGGAGCTTGATCAAGGAATTTATTAACTCGTTATCTATGCTTTAATTTCATTCTAAACCAAATTGTTGTACTGCATCACAAATTGTTAAAGGGAAGAAATTGGTCAACTATTGTGATTGCCTCAATCTTAGTAATTAGCTAAGTTTACGGTCATTACACCTATTGTGATTTACATACTTAGAATGGATTCCATGCTTACTTAGAATAGAACTTTCATTCTGTATAAATCTTGTACATTACGATCTCAAGGTATCAATACAATATATACAGCTTTCTACATTCTTTCATGGTATCAGAGCACCAACATAGGTGACTCTGTCCAGCACGTCTTCCGCTACCAAAACCAACCTACACAGCCCATCAACATGGGTGATGAAAAATCATCCGGATCTGAAATCAACATGTCTGATCCACTTATCCTACACCATTTCGACTCACCCGGTCTGGTTCTAGTTTCGAAACCTCTCGAAGGCCATGACTATGGTCAATGGAGTCGCTCGATGCGAATTGCCTTGAGCGCCAAAAACAAACTAGGTTTCATTGACGGGACTATCAAAGCCCCAGCAAAAACTGATGCCAAATTCTCCATTTGGCAGAGATGCAACGATATGGTGTTATCCTGGATTTTGCACTCACTACAACCCGACATCGCAAGCAGTGTACTTTACTGCACCAGCGCATCCATGGTGTGGAATGATCTTAAAGATCGGTTCTCACAAGGCAACGACTCCCGGATTTACCAAATCCGTCAAGAAATTGCCGAACATCGACAAGGCCATCTTTCGGTTTCAGAGTATTACACCAAGCTCAAGGCCTTATGGGATGAATTGGATTCATACCATGAACCCATCATCTGCACTTGCGAAGGTTCCACAACACGTGCTTCCAGAGAAGAGAAGGAGAGAGTCATGCAATTTTTAATGGGTCTGAACGAACCTTATTCAACTGTGCGTGGGTCAATTCTGATGATGTCACCGATCCCAGACACACGTCGTGTCCATGGCCTGATCCTCCAACACGAAAGGCAGCTGGACGTGACAAATCGACAGCCCGGATCCCATGCCATGCAAACCGTACGTTCTGTGAACACCAAGGGCGGCACCAACCTAGGCAACTCGGCAGCAGCGGCGAAACCCTCTGGTGCTGGGGACGGAAAACACAGCTCCAACTTCAGGAAGTCTCTGAAATGTTCTTATTGTGATGGAGACACCCACACCATTGACACTTGTTTTTTCCTTAATGGATTTCCTGTGGGCCACAAACTCCATGGGAAGAATGTCAAGCCCAAAAACAAACGGGCTGCTTACACTGCTGAAAAGGATCCAACCCCAGGGCCCCACGTCAAATCCGATGACAGCCCCACTTTCACTACTGAAGAATACAATCAACTGATCGCTCTTTTACACAATCGACCTGGTAATTCTCATCTTGCAAATGCAACAGGTATTGTTACATCAACCTGCAACCTTTCACAGCATGACCCACTTTCAAATTTTTATTGGATCATGGACAGTGGAGCATCAGATCATATTTCATGTTTTGCACCTACACACAACACAGTCAATACTCAACATGATTTTGTTGGTTTACCTAATGGAGGGAAAGCAGCCATTAAAAATATTGGATCCATTAAAGTGTCTGACACCTTAACTCTAGATGGTGTTCTTCATGTACCACAATTCAATGTGAACTTATTGTCTGTGAGCAAATTGACACGAGGATTGCAGTGTATGGTAACTTTCTTTGATAAATTTTGTGTTGTGCAGGACGTGAATACGGGGAGGACGATTGGCCTGGGCAAGCAATTTAATGGGCTCTACTACCTCAAAGCCACCCAAAACCCACATCTAGCTCATCATGTTCACCACACCTCCCATCTTTGGCATCAACGTCTGGGACACCCATCCAACGCCCCTACTCAATTTCTTTCCAATAAATTTCCAGAAATTATCTGTGATAACAATCATGTTTGTGATATTTGTCCTTTAGCAAAGCAAACTCGCTTATCTTTTTCTCCATCTACTTCAATGTCATCTCATGCACCTTTTGATTTAATTCATTGTGACATTTGGGGGCCACACAAAATTCACACTCATACTGGTGCACGATATTTTCTAACTATTGTGGATGATTTTACCCGTTTTACATGGATTCATCTCTTAAATTTTAAATCAGACACACAAGGGGTGATAAAATCTTTTTTCTCTTGGGTCAAAACCCAATTCAATCTCCCTGTCAAAACCTTGCGTGCCGACAATGGGAGTGAATTTCTTTCACTCCAAACTCCACCTTGCGTGCCGACAATGGGAGTGAATTTCTTTCCCTCCAACCTTTTTTCCGAGACACCGGTACCTCTTTCCAACACTCATGTCCATATACACCCCAACAAAATGGCATCGTCGAACGAAAACACCGCCATCTTTTAAACAGAACTGCCTTTTACAAAACTATAAAAATAAATACCCACGCTAGAAAGATAAAAAGACAGCTGTAACTCCATTTCTGCCTGGACAGGAGGATCTGACCCGGCTGGACTGGAAATATCTGGGCTGGACTGAACTGTCAACAACTTCAACTGCTAAGTTTCAGCTACAAATCGATACCAAAGTTCAAATTTGGCAGAGTTTTAATACACTTCAAGCTTTGGGAGGCTTTTGAGCAGGCAAAACTGCAGCTTCTTCAGTTTGAATGGGCAGAAGTGGCTGTTCTTTAGGATTTAGTGAGCTAGAGACTGCGCTGTGAGATTTGTTGAGGTTTTCATGTTTGGGAAAACTCAAACTCTACTTGTTTTGGGTTTGTTGAACCAAATTTGTAACGAGAGAGATCTCGTTTTGAATAGTTAAGTATGAACTTTGGGAAATCTGATCTAAAGCTGGTTTTTCTTGGAGTCCAAGTGAGCTTTTGGTTGATTTTTGAGTTGTTTGTTTGATTGATGAATTCAGTGTCCTTTTTTCTCTGCCTGTTCACTCCATCTTATATTTACAAGAAATGCACAGGGGCAGGGTTTCTTTCTTTAAAATAATGGGCGGCAAGTCTTCTCAAAGATCTGCAAAGAGATACAAAAGAGGGAAAGATTTAATTTCTTTATGTCAGATAGGCTTTTATCAATCAATCTTTGAGATCACTTCCTTTTTTTTTTTTAAAAGCCTAATTCCTTTTCCCAATTTAACTGCGCCTTGTAAGATTTCAACCGTGATGGTTAGTTTGATTTCCCATATGAACAACTCTTTGTCCTCCTGCTTATCTCCTTTTTTGAAAATATGTCATGCGTATCTCTTGTAATGATGGTGCCTCCTTGGAGTGAAATCAATATTTTTGAATATATAAGAAGGATTTTGATCTTCTAGTGGCAGAAATTCAGAGAAATCCTTTTGCCACTGACCTGCTTTAATTAATTCTCAATCAACTCAGTTGAGTTTGTTGACTTTTCCATTTTGGTAGTCACGTGGGTTCTGAAAATGGGTCCTTTTTTTTTTCTTTTAATCATGCTGGGCCCATTCTGATTTGTCTGGAGCCCAAAGGTGACTGCTTTTCTTTTGTGGCCCAAGTTTGCTTGCCATATTTTGATGAGTCTTAGGCTGAGCCTCTCTGGACTTTGGGCTTTGCCTTCTGTTTTGCAAAAGCCCAAACTACTTGAGTTCTGTAGCTTTTATTCTGGGCTTTCTCCATGTTGGGTTGGACGCGTTCAATTTAGGCTCAAACATGAGTGCATATCCGATTGTGGGAACATTTATGAGTACATACTCAACGTCGCGGAAAACCTACAATTTGCCTCATCTGTTAGCCAAATTATTAGTTAGTCTGTTAAATGCTGACGTGTCAAAAGTGGGACCCTTTTTTTTATGACGTGGACTTCCACGTGGATTAAAAATTAATAATAAATTTTTTTACTGTTTAAATTATTTTAAAAGATCTCTCTCTCTCTCTCTCTCTCTCTCTCTCAACCCTCTACCCAGCGAACCCAGCTACTCCAGCCACCCAAACTACCACCTATCACCTCTCCTCCCCAACACAGCCCAATCCTCAAATCCCCAACTCCTGCAACTTTAGACTTCGAGAACTTGGTCACGTTTTGAAAAACAATTGGTATGGTTTCAGATTGATAGAAACCATAGATTCGTATCACCTACTTGCTAAAAGCACAAATAGAATTGCAGATCTGTATTGCTTGAATGAAGACACCCGATCTCCCCGACTTTCCCAAATGCCCGCCACAGGTCCTGCTCCTTTTCGAGTTGATTTTTTCAAACCAACAAAATTTATTAGACTAATAGATAGATCTAAAACACCAAACTCTACATAAATGAAAATAACAGGGCATACCATGGTCTGGGGCCAAACCAGAGTTGACACGTGGTTGAGCTTAATTGTTCATGTCCTCAAAGTTCAAGTTGAGGGCTTGAACTACCTTGGCTAGGAGCAGAACAGTTGGGAAACCTGTAATTTAAACACAACATTTTAAACAAAATAGTTCCAAATTGAAACAAAACGATCCTAATCACAAATAGTTGAGTTTCAGAATCTCAATTTCAAAATGCAAAGGGTTCCCATTAGTACATGCTTTCTTGCGAGGCTCAGGAGCAGGGTTGGTGTATCTGCGAGGCAAGAACACGCCTGTTACTGGGAGGATTATTTGATCAACAGCAGAGATTTCATCCTGAAGCGGTCGCACTCGTTCGGATTCGAGCGGAGCTCGGCGCTGGCGGAGAGGATGATGGGGACGGAGCCAGCAACTGTTAAAGGGAAGAAATTGGTCAACTATTGTGATTGCCTCAATCTTAGTAATTAGCTAAGTTTACGGTCATTACACCTATTGTGATTTACATACTTAGAATAGATTCCATGCTTACTTAGAATAGAACTTTCATTCTGTATAAATCTGGTACATTGCGATCTCAAGGAATCAATACAATATATACAGCTTTCTACATTCTTTCACAAATGATCTTTGAGATTGATGGATTTTCTCTCTTTCAATTGTATTCCGGAATATGTTCCTGGATCTAGATGTTTATCTGTTCGTGTTTTTGTGATGTGTTAGAAATCGTCTTCGAAATTGGACAGGTATCCTAATCTCTAAAGCTTGGGAAGACATCATATGTCCATGAACGGGTGAAAGAAGAAGAGGAATAGGCTCCTAATTGTTGGTTATCATTGATTATTTTACACTGCATAAACCAAGATCTATTGAGAATCAGTTATCATTGGTTTTGGGGCCATAGCAATGTAGATGCAATTGGTACTTGAGAGATCAGAAGTAAAGTAGCCATTAATTCTTTATTGTTTTTAACTTCCATACACAAGGTTTGGTAAGCAAGCATTTCTTGTCAAGTATCTGACATTTATACTGAAAGAGTGAATGAATATAGCATTTCTGTGTGTAAATGCAAGCACAAATAACTGACATTGGGGCAATATATATATATATATGGTTTTTTCAAACCAGAACTTTCATATTATCTTTATTTATACACAAACTAACATCCAAGTCAGATTGAGTGGACATTAACAAAGCATCCAAGTCAGATTGAGTGAACTTTCATATTACATACTTGCTGCTTCTGACCAACACTATTGAGCTCATCCAAAATGTACTTTCTTGCCTTCAGGTTTTGACATAATGATTTAAAATCATCGGTCAAATGATGCTCCGCTGCCCAATCCTCCAATGCCTTTCTGTCAGGGACCACCACAGCAACAAGAAACGACTCAAAGCTGTTCCCATAAACCCAAATCTGCAAACCAGAGGAAAGTGCAGATATCCACAACTTTAGAAAACAGGAAAACAACCAAAAGGAAATTTTCACAAATTAAACCAAAAATACAAACTCGTCAATGGAGGAAAACAGAGGCGAGTCCTAATGTATGGAAATAGTTCTACTTCTATTGGATGTAGTAACAAGCAACGTACCGATGTGGTAAGAGGGCATTGCAGGTATTTGCTTTCAATGTTTTCCACAGCAACATATTCACCTTGAGACAGTTAAAATATTTTCTTTTTCCTATCTATAATTTTCATTGCTCCATTAGGCTGCAATTCTCCAATGTCACCTGCAATCCACTCAAAGTCAAGAAATACCACCTTTTAATGCAACAATTAACCATCAACAAAACATTCTAACACGCACAGTGGTGACATCTTGACAAGCCAAAAGACTGACCCATGTCACCAGCAGTCCACTCAAAGTCAAGAAATACCACATTTTAATGAACAGTGGTGACATCTTGACAAGCCATCAATAAGGACTTCCTCTGTCAGATCTTGTCGCTTGTGGTAACCAGAAAACAAGGATTTTCCTCTCAGGCAGATCTCTCCACGTGGCACACTGGAAAGTGCATCATATCCCATTTCTGGCACTGACTCAAGCCTTGTTTCAAAAGTTGTCATGGGGACGCCCACAGTTCCCATCATAGGAAAAACATTGCCAATGGACGTAAGACATCCACCACAGCTTTCAGTGAGGCCTACATGTCAAAGAGCTTAACAAGCCGATGGAAAGCTCTTTTTTTAAGGAAAACTTTTATAAACTACTGTTGATGTGTTGTGCATCAAAATTTAAAAAGCTCGCGTCACTAACTAGAAAATCTTGCATACATGGTACATCCTAAATCATGCATATATAGTTGTAATGATAAGTAAATATCTTATAAATTTTCCTGCATTTTCAAAATTATTTATCCTTTAGATTTCATCAGTTAAACAATTAATACCAGCGTCTTCAAAGATGAGAATGAATTCATAATGTCTTTTCTTTTTTTTTTGGCCAAATAAAAAGGTCACTGCAAAACCTATGAAGATTACCTAACACCATTTATATGATTCTATATATTTCCTAGATAACTTAGCAGATGTTCATCCAACGATACCATATCCTTGTGACAAAGTAGTGCTGGCGGTGACCCTAAAAAATTCCTCCACATGCCTAGGCAACGGTGCAGCACCAGACAACAGTATACGAACTCGTCTCCCTAATGCTTGTTTTATCTGCCACAAGTAGCACCTTGTTAGAATGTAAAATAGCTATTTCAAGAATGGAATGGCAGACCCTTCTCCAGATTTGCCAACTTGCTGTCAATTAAATCTCCATTAGTTTTATTGTAGAGATGCAAATGCAAACAAAAATATTTCCATTTTATCGTCACTATACTAGTTATAAGCATCTTCCTCAATGCACTACTAGATGAAACTTTATTAGGTGATCAATTTCAGTGTCAATGTCATATGATTAGCACGAGGAGATAATCACACTACAAGAAAAAAGGTCCGTAGTGACCAATTTCTTTGTGACCAGATAAATAATGGTCACAAATATAGTAAATTTAATGGCTAATAATACTACATGCTCAGTAACGTTTTTAATTTTTAATGACTTAATTTTCTGTCCAATATTTAAATTAGAAAGTTAGTGACCAATTAACGTTTTTAAACATAGATTTTTCTTTTTCAAAACACGCTCATCGCATCAAAAAGAAAACAAAATGACGCGGGACCAGAGCGAGATACGCCCGCGAGACCAGAGCGAGAGATCTGAGGGAGATACGAGCCTGGGAGACCAGAGCGAGAGATCAGAGTGAGAGATTAGAGCGAAATGGTTTATAAAGAGCCATCCATGTATGATAAATTGTTAATGACGCTAGGTCATCTAGTAAATCTGTTGCTGCTGCATATAAACAAAGGTAACACTCTTCTCAAAGTCTTGAATTCAATTTCAGTCTGTTAGTGTGTACTTATTGTATGTAATTAAAAGAAATTTCGTGGCCCCAGTATTAAGTGTGCATAAGGCAGTGACTTTTGGTTGTTCAAGTATGTTTTGGCTCTTGTATTCACTTATTAGCTGTGTCATGCTCTATTCAGCCAGATCTAAGCTTAGGATCTGAATTATGGTTTATAAGGTTCCTAGGCTCTTTTCTGTTCTGCTATAAAAAACACAACGCAGCCGCAGGAAGAACAAAGTCTACAGCCAGCAACACACTTTAATAATACAGCAAGGCAGCACTAACCATAAAAGCAGGTCAAAAGACAGGAACTGTGAAGAGCAACTAGCCAAAAACAGTGGCGCACCAAGGGGAGACCAACCCATAGGGACTGCAATACTAGCAACCCCAAACTGAAGGAAGGACAGTAGAATCACCACACCAGTAACAAATCATTTACAAAACCAAACAGCAAGAAGTAAAGACAGCCAGGAAACCATTAGAGCTCTGGAAGTATAACTTTATACGGTATATCCAGTCTCCTCTCCTCTTATCTCATCTTGCATAGAGCAAGACTGCACCATTCCAACATCCACCATTCAAAACTCAATTGAAGTCTAAGAAACCAATCATGTGGAATTAACACAAACAATCACAAATATAGATCACTGAATTCTACCCACGGGCTTGAGAATGTCAGCTTGTAAGAAGGATGCAAATCCTTATCTTCCCAATCACATTCGAATGCTACTGTCCTTTCCCTTTGGAGGATTGATCGATTGGTATCTTCCTGGACATACCCATGCCTCTATACTGAGGTCTTCATCCTGGTGGCATTACTAGGTGGACTCCGAAGCTTTTCACAGCTTTGCTAATACGCACAAAATGAACTCGGATTGTAGGCAAATAAGGCGGCATCACCCATGTTCCTTTCACCTTTCTTCTCGTGCATGCCATTCTCCACATCAAATCATGGAAAGGGAAATATGACAGCCACACTAAACTCGATTCTTTCATTGTTGAATGAATAATATAAGGTGCTTCATCGATGTAAATATCAATAGCAAACTCCATGATGCTGGATTCAATATAATGACATAACCTATTTGTGGTCTTTTCGAGAAAAGCACAAAAAGAAATTCCTTTGTTCTCCCAATTGAAATTTTGAGAGGTTTTAATAGAGAATTGACATTCGCAAAGATCCTTCAAATCCTTACGATAACTGAACCACTTTGGAATTCCCCTTCCTGGAAATTCAACCATGACATGAGATGTGAGAGACAAGAGAAAGAGAGAGAAGAGATTGACTTGATTTATGAACATACTTTTCTTCTTTGCAATTCGAACCAGATTGTTACGCAGTCTCCAACAATTAGTCAATCTCAATTCCACGAACATTTGAGACTCTTTACGTTCCAAAAGGTTGGACAATTTTGAAACTCTTTCCAATGATAAGCAATCCCTCACATCTAAAAGTTGCAATGCTTGTGGAAGATCTGGAATTTCTCTAAGTCTCTGGCAACTTATCAAAAAAAGTTGCTCCAAGTTGACAAAGTTATTAATGCATACGGGAAGACTAACGAAATTGTGTCCTGATAGATCAAGTATAGTTAATGTGGTCGTGCAATCAAGAGTCAGAAGGAAATCGGCAATGTCTGAAAGATTGGATCGGCCCACATAGAATCTAGATAGCTTGGGAAACGCTAAATTGCCTCCTTGAAGAGTCACAAGTGATTCTGCACTCCTTGAATCTTCAGACTTCGCCATTTTAGGAAATGAAACCAATTTTGAGCATTTAAAGGCAGAAATTGTCTCTAGGTGCTTCAACTCATAAATGCTGCATGGCAGATTTGTAAGGTTTTCACATCCGGTTAAATACAAATTCTCGAGACGAGTGAAATGTCGAACTGACGATGAAGGCAATTCTTTGATGGAAGTCCTTGATAGACTCAGGTATTTCAAAGATTCCATCTTCCCCTTAATTTCAGGAAAATTCTCAAGACTTATGCAACCGTAAAGATTCAACTTCAGCAGAGATTTCAAGTTGACAATTCTTGGAAACAGAGTAAGACTACGGCATCCCGTAAGACTCAACTCAACAAGCTTATGAAGGAATCCAGCAGAAGGATGAAGCTCAACTAAACTTGTACAATATTTTAGATTCAACCTCTCCAAGTTTGGGACTCCAGAGAAGTCAGGGATTTTTCTTAGGAATTTGCTGTGCTCCAAATTTAAAAATTTCAAACTCTGTCCCACAAAACAGAGAGAAAAAGAGAGAGGATTGCATCATAAGCTCTTAATAAACTCCCAATATGCTGAAAAATAAATAAATAAATAAATAAACTCTTGAAAAAAGATTTAATTTAAATACCTTGAATTCCAAATGCAGTCGTAAAATGCGGCTACGAGGCATAGTAAGACCAACAAGTTTCTTTGGATTAAAATTGGCTGGCAAAGATTGTGATGGATATTCAGGCCAGCTAAGGAACCTCAACTCATTGGGAAGATAATCAACTTCTCCAGACAAGCGCGCATTATGATTTATAAAAAGTCGAAGATTTTTCATCTTTGAGAAGCTTTCAGCATTCAAACATACCTCATCTGACTCAACCCCAGCAGGCAACTTCACCATAATACCTTTGATCTTATCCGTTCCCTAGTATGAAAAGGCAATACTATTAGCAAAGGACAAGTTTTTTGTTAAACAAAAATAAAATGTTTTAAATTATATATTCTACTTACTGTGTTTTCTGTTAAAACATGGTAAACATCCTCATGAAACCACAACCTACTACGTTTTCCGGGCTCAGTTGGTGACTCTTGGCGAACTACTTCTTTACCCATTTCTTGTATCAAGTCATGCATCCAAATGCAGCCTTCTTCTGTAATATTTATAAGAGCCTTTTCTACGAGTACTTCAAGATCATACTTAGGGTTGAGGTCACAATCTTCTAGTACATGTATCACACAATCCTCGCCTAGACCTTTATAGAAAAATGCAATATCAAGGAAAACTTCCTTCACCGCATCTTCTAGTGCATTATAACTTATTTTGAGAATTTCTTGAATCTCTCGGTTAGGAACTCTTTTGTAACCATCTAATGCATATTTCCATTGATCAATACTTCTACCACATAGATGTGAACCCAAAACCATCAGAGCTAATGGAAGACCCTCAGCATAGTCTACTACCTTGTTTGCAAGTTTCGCATAATCATCTTCTAAGTGTCCATTTCTTGAAAATGAATTCCAACTGGCGAAGAGCTTTAAGGACTCATAATAATCTAACTTCTCAACCTCATATATTAGATTGACTTGATGAGCAATTAGCAAATGCTTATCTCTTGTCGTTAGAACAATTCTGCTGCCTGAACCAAACCAATCAGACCTTCCAACTAATTTGTTTAATTGGTCCAATTGATTCACATCGTCAAGAATTAGGAGAAGCTTCTTACCATTCAACATTTTCTTTATCACATTGATTCCTTTGTCAACATTGGTCACCTTTACTTCTTTCACCCCTAGAATCTCAGAAAGAAGAATACTTTGTAGTTTGACTAAGCCTCCATACGACATTGATCTTTCTCTAACATCATCTAGAAAACAGCAACCTTCAAACATATGGGCGATGGAATTATAAACAGCTTTAGCAATTGTTGTCTTACCTATTCCACCAGTGCCCCATATCCCTACCATGCGGACATCGTTTCCTCCAACACCCAAAAGCTTATCTATCTCGCGCACACGAGACTCTATTCCAACTGGGTACTTTGCTACATTCAAATATGCCTGGTTTAGTACTTGAAATGAAATAGCTTCAACGATGTTGTCAATAAATTTTGATTCATGCCTGCAAAGTTATACAATATGCAAAAGATTAATGATGAATAACATTTTGTAATATTATATATATAGGCTTTTTATCACAAATGGCCTCTGAGGTTTGCGAAATTATCAAATTTTGTCCCTAATTTTTTTTTTTTTGGCACTAATGGTCCTTAAGGTTAGCCTTCACACATCAAAATGGTCCCTACCATTAGCTTCCGTCAAATTTTCTATTAAATTGATAACGTCGCACATGTGTGGAGCCCACACATCCAATGGTATATTGCAACATGGATTTAAATATAATATAACATATTTTTAAAATTTAAAATCCATAAAAAAAACAATTTAATTAAAAGTAAGTTAAATCTTTTTAATATATTTTTAAATATCTTTCTTTCTCTCCCTCTCCTTGTGTTCTCTTTCCCCTTCCTCCTTGCAAACCCACTCCTCTCTTCCTCCCTTCCCTTTCTCTCTCCCTCTCCCCGTGTTAACTTTCT